ATACATATATATATATATATATAAATCTGTGTGTGTGTTTAGTAAAATTCAACACTGTAATACAAATGACTGACCTGTAGCTGAGTTTCCAGAGCAACTGTAGCCCCCTCACCACAGTTCTCATCCACAATGACCACCATGTGGGTTAAAGAGTTAACTTTCACTTGCTCAGATTCAAGATCATTTTGTAGTTTCTAGTAAGGAATAAGCAAAGTGTAAACAACCCACATATTAAAAAAGGTACAAAATTGGGGGGGGGAATGAGAAACATAAATCGGGCAATATTATTAAAAATCATTTTGTCAAACTCTAAAATACATTTAAAACAAACCTAATAAAAGAAAAACAAACAATAAGTCTGTAATAAAGTCCTGTCGTTACAACACTGCAACAGCTAATTCTGCTGGTAAACCACTGTAAATCAAAGTTAACTGGTTATTGTTTTGTGATCCCGCCAGCCCCCAATTTTAAACATTATACTACATTTTTATTAGACTAGAGTTCTTCCTAAACCTTCCACAGTAATGTATGTGTTAGCTTCTGCTGCTAATCTAGGAACAGGAGGTGAATGACCAGTAAAGAGAGAAAGGAAGGAATTCCTCCTTTACTGTGTGTAATGTGAAGATGAGCAAACTGATTCAGGCAGATTATGATCAAATTTAGATAGGGCTGATCTGGGTAGTGGGCACAGCAGAGGTGCAGAATAGTGAGAGTGATGGGTTATGGGCAGCTTACCTGCTTACCTTTTTTTGCAAAATAAAAAACAAAGAAGACTGTCAATCAGTGAAAGCTTTAACCTAATAGGATCTGATGGAATCTTCTATTACAGCTCTATAATATATTTCAATCTGATTGTTTACCAGAGAAAGATAATTGTTTTTCTTTTCCAAAATGTAACTCTGAACAGAAAGGACCTGAAAAAAAGACCAGGCCAGGTGGAGACCCTTAAAAATTAATTTATTAGCTGTAAAAACTGTACATTGAGGTGGGACATTAGGTTTTCAACCTATACTGAAGTATTGTATTAACCAAGGCAGTAGATTGCAATTATGTGCCTCAGCTGCAGTTAGCTTCTCCAAATAGCTTTTCTGGGCCTGTTGGATGCAGAACAGCAAGATGCCCCGATGATTCTCAACTGGAACTGATGTTTTTAGATGCAAGCCCATTTTTTTCTTGGGCCTTCTCTTAAAGGACTCACCAGGTGCCGAAAGAAGGCCACACGTGTTGGTAACATAATTAGGGACACACACGCTCAGAACCCCTTTTATTTGAAGACACAAGCTTATATACATGGAACAATTTTGAGAAGGCACATAAGGTCCCCAAAAGGCCTAATAGGTTAGGTGGTCCTAATATATTAATAAGCTCAAATTCCCATGTTTGTACAAGACTAGAGTAATTTTACAACAAATGTAAATTTAGCTGAGGTACTAGGTACAGCAGTATGCCTTCAAACATTATAAAATCAGAAAACATGAATGGCTTTAGGTTTTGTGTCAGAACTAATTGACCATAATTTGTTGTGCTATGTGATCAGCAATATGGTGGATTGCCCGTGGGACAAAATGACAATGCAAGTCTGAAAGACTACACTAAAGGTGGCCATACACCTTACGATTATCGGACGCCACTTTTCGTCTGATGATCGAACCGTCGTACCATTGTCGTACAGCGGCCCCATTATGCCCCGATTATCGCAAGGTTCAATTAGCCGTAATTAAAGAAAAGCACCTGGATGAATTGCGGTAAACAACAGCACATATTTTCGTTTGCGCATGAGCAGTGTAGATTGTACGACTTTTGACATACGGAAACGCCACTAACCTTGCAATAATCGTACGATCGACCAAAGTTTTCAAACATGCTTGAAAGTCAAAAGTCGTACGATTGTACAGTATTTGTGGTTGTACACTGCCCATACACCTTGCGATTATCGGACGAAAATGCGATTGCATACGATTGCCCGTGGGACAAAATGACAATGCAAGTCTGAAAGACTACACTAAAGGTGGCCATACACCTTACGATTATCGGACGCCACTTTTCGTCTGATGATCGAACCGTCGTACCATTGTCGTACAGCGGCCCCATTATGCCCCGATTATCGCAAGGTTCAATTAGCCGTAATTAAAGAAAAGCACCTGGATGAATTGCGGTAAACAACAGCACATATTTTCGTTTGCGCATGAGCAGTGTAGATTGTACGACTTTTGACATACGGAAACGCCACTAACCTTGCAATAATCGTACGATCGACCAAAGTTTTCAAACATGCTTGAAAGTCAAAAGTCGTACGATTGTACAGTATTTGTGGTTGTACACTGCCCATACACCTTGCGATTATCGGACGAAAATGCGATTGCATACGATTATCGTACGATAATCGTAAGGTGTATGGGCACCTTAAGATGAGCAAGGTAAAGGTAGGTCCATACCTTGACTTTTAAGTGATATTCCAAGAGTAAAGATCCAGAATGTTGTAAGAAACAGGCAGGTAATTGAATCTGCCAGTGTGTATCCTGCAAGGGGTTAAGTCTCCATTCACACATAGGCATTTTTAAGCGCGCAAGACATTAAAAGCAATGCATTCCTATGGGGCTTGTTCACACCTGCGTGTTCGTATGCACAAAAACATGCAACATGAGGAAAAAAGTACATGGAGATATTTTGGCGGATTTCAGAGCGTTCTGTCCCCAACAGACTGTAGTGTAGCTGCAGACGCGTGCAAAACCATGCATCTATTAGAAATTCTGCTTTTAAACACGCGTTTGTGTGCGGGAGTTTTTGCACGCAGATACCGGTATTTCAAAAGCCTTAGTGTGAATGGAGGCTTAGGGCCCGTTCACACAAGTTGCAGTGCGTTCCGGCCCGTTTCTGGCCATAACGCACTGCCTCGAATTGCGGCTGGCTCACTTTTTAGTGGGGCAGGAGGGGGCGTGACTGGCCATTGAAGTGAATGGCACCGTAGCCACGCCCTCCGGCCACAATGCGATCGCCCGCACAGGATCGCAAGGCAAACTGTGCCTGCGGTCCGATCAAAATAGTGCTTGCAGCATTTTGATCGCACCGGACCGCAGGCACAATGTGCCTTGCGACTCAGTGCGGACAATCTCATTGCGGCCTGAGGGCGTGACTACAGTGCCATTCACTTCAATGGCCCAACACGCCCCCTCCTGCCCCACTAAAAAGTGAGCCGGCCGCAATGCGAGGCAGTACGTTCTGGCCAGAATCGGGCCGGAATGCACTGCAACTGGTGTGAACGGGCCTTAGTGTTTTGGGTGGATCTGCGCTTTAAAATGCTTGACAGGCAGCAGCAGTACAACTGTCACTTAGAAACTGATTTAGAAAACCTTCATTATTTTATAAGTTAAACGCCTATACAAATATGTTTAAAACAGATAACTAAGGAACACATTTTTGCATACTTTGTGATCTTCAATTTGCTTTTTAAAAGCCTCGAAATCATCCCCGAAAGATTTTCTATCCATCTTGTGAATTCGCTCTTCCGTGACAGTCAACCAGTCAGACAGCTGGTCCAGTTGTTTTCTCTGCAAATCCATCAGCACTTCATGCAACCTTCCAAGAAGCAAATTAAAAACAAGTCAAACCAGGTAAAACAAGAATTTGTATTAGATAACATCTCAAGACCTAATTGCATGCTACAGGCAGGATTTTCATCTAGTACCTGGCAAGCCTGTACAACATGATCTAGTAGCAATTCCTCAGTGAACTATGAGAAGTAATTAAAAGGCACAACAATGCAGTAAAAATAGTACTAAGCTATGTACTATTATTAAATCCAAATATACATTGCCCAGTAATGTATTTCTTTACATCTTTGCCCAAGCACTTACAGTCATCATGTTTACAAACAGCTTCCTACAACTCTCTCAGCTCTGCTTCCCTGAACTACCTTGTCCAGTATAAGTTCACAAGGAACAGATCAGTCTGCAGCAGCTTTCCATCTACTAGCTTGGGGCAGATAGGAGGGGGAGCAGGGCAGTGCCTTGCCTTGCTGTGCCTGCGTTTTTGTAGAGACAAGTGTGGCTTCATTGTGTTATGGAAAATTTGGCTTGGGCTATGCGTACAAATCTACGCTGCGCTAAAAGGCACACTTCCAGATATCAATGTGCGCAAAGCGCAACCAACTCCACCATGCTTATTGTGCACGTTGTATTAAGCTCTTTGGTATAAGGGAATTAAGTACTTCCGTAGTGCGAGACAGATTCAGGCAAGACCCTGATTCAAGCTGGAGGTTCAGTATCCAAGAGTGGAAGTCCTGACTAGCACAGTAGCTCCGATTATTTATAAGGCACAAAAGGATAACGCCCAGAGGGAGATGGCTTTACAGCATCAGCCAATCAGCCCAGAAAGTACAGTTACATAATAAAAGGGGAGTGCACCGTAGATGCGCCGAGAAACGTGCATGACTCACTTCCGCCTTTGTTTTAAACACAGGAAACATGTGTCGAGATTCGCGCCATTAGCCTATGTGCTGAGTCATGTCCATTGCTCTGACCAGCCACGTGTATGCGCATCCGCCATCTTGGCCAGCATGGACCCCATTCAATACTGCTCATAATGACCAGTATCTGTTGAGATCATTCTACTTGTTCTTACAGGTTTGAGACTATCTGTGTAAACATTGCTAATGCTGTTGTCAATGAGCGGTACCAGCACACTAGCAAGGCATAAATCAATGTCTTCTTATAAAAGCAGATATGTACCCAGAAAAGGATAGCGCAGCCGCAAGAGAAATATAATACATATCTCTCGTTATGCAGACTCCGCTTCGCTAATGTGTATAGACGTACGCCGGCAATAGGCCCAGCGCATTGCGCTTGATACTCACAAACCGGCACACACCACGAACACGTCTCTAAGCCCATGAGAAGGTTTTCATACTGACGGTTCTACCGCTGATCCCGATTAACCCAAGTACGCTCTGCTAGAGCGTGCCTTGGTTGAATCCGACACAGGGAGACAGGAGACAATCTATAAAACACACACATCCTAGAATAACATGTCCACATAAGTCCATATAATAACATTTCCACGATAATAGGACCCTGTAAAGGGAAAGGAGCCACCCTAAAATAGTATATTAGTGCCGGTGCTCAGGGAACCAGTGAATTCTACATGAGACTAAAACTTTTAAACATCAAGAAGCAGCATCCATTGTAAATAATTATTTACTATTTGAAATAGCTTTAACCCTTTCACTGCTAAGCCCCCAGAACGTTTTTAACCTCAGTTGACCACACCATTTTTGCAATTTTTCCCATTGATTTGATTTTCTACTGCTGCGTAGACCCCCACCCAAGCCATATATTTTCTGAAAGCACAGGCCCGGTAGAATAAAAAGATGGTGCTACTAATTTTGTAGGTCCTGCGATAATTGTGCATATGTTTATTAAATCAATATTAAAAATACACAATGAAATTGATAAAAGCGCACTAAAATCAGTATCAGTAAAAAAAAAAAAAAAAAAATCCGACTTAGGGCAGGTTCACACCATTTTCCGGAAAAGATCCTGAAACACAGTGCATTGAGTTTTGCCGCTTGTTTGCTGCAATTTTGCCGTGCTCGGGAGGTTTTTCTTTTTTTTTTAATGGTCTTACAGGTGTGTTCCAATGCGTTTGTATGCGTTTTTGATGCGTTTCTGTGCGTTCCAGTGCATTCCAGACCAGACAAATTAAGACAAGCAGTATTTTTATGGTCTGGTCTGGAACGGACTGCACTGGTGTGAACAGAGGCCAGAAATAGCATAGGGATACATTAAGATATATTTTGGGTCTGGACACAATCTGGCCTGGCCTGCAGATAATCTGGATGTAGTGTGAATGGGCCCCAAATCTAAAAAAATAAAACTGTATTTATATAACAAGTATTTGTAAATTTCCACTGGAACCTTCAAAAGTAGTTTTTTAATCCAAAACTACCATTGAGAAGCTAAATATCCATACAACATACAACTAATGACAATACTATTAAACTACAAATCCTATAACCTTTGCCTAGAGCAAGCCCAGTTGGGCAATATTTGAGTCTGTAACGTAATCTACTAAAGACCAAGTTAAAGTGCAAGTGTAACTATTCTTTTCTTTTTCTGGATAAAGTTTTGAAGGGTTAGAATCTCTGTGACATTTTTTTTGCTGTCTGTCTACAGTGGGGAGAATTCCACCTTTGAAAATGTTCACTGGAACAGGTTTTCCACTGGGAGAACTTCCTAATTACTATAACAGACAGAGGGAGTAAACAATGGCATAAAATTAGCTGATAACATAAAGACAACCAGTGTATTAAAACATCTAAGTTACAAAGGCTGAGAATTGTTTTACTGGTTTATACAAAAAAACTATAGAGCCATGTATGTTTATGTTACAGTTGCATAGAGACTGATTGGGCTATTACACACGTATTTTCCATTGCTTGACATTAAAGCAATATATGGAAAACCATGTAATACAGTGGAAAATATATGTGCATAAATGTATACAGTCATGTAAATGATACTGGTGACATATATATGGAGATGCATGCCCTTTTCCTCCAGTGTAAGGGCCAGTTCACACCATATGCAGTTGTGATGCAGTACGTTTATTTTGACTGCTGCAGTCAAAATACATCACAATGCTTTCCTATGGGCTTTCTTGTGCTTTATTCACACCATTGCAGTGTTTATAAAGCACAAGAAAGCCCATAGGAAAGCATTGTGATGCATTTTGACTACAGCAGTCAAAATAAACAGACTGCATCACAACTGTATATGGTGTGAACTGGCCCTTAAGAGGAAGGGTTCATCAATACAATGGGTTGGTTTTTTTTTTATAAACTGGAAAAAAAATGTTACCACTGCAGTCATAAACACAGGCCTATAGACCAGTGTAAGAAGTGCTGTTTCAGCTTTAATAAGAAAGTCACACAATCATTATAATGTTCTGGGAGGGGAGAAGGTAAACCACCAATGGGAATTCTTCCTAATGGAGATATACACACACAGGTCAGATTGAGTGATTATAACCATAGATCTGCAGCTAAAACAACGAGCTGTAATTGAATTTCTGGCGAAAGAGGGTTGCGCACCTAAGGAAATCCATAATCAGTAAAAGAATGTTTATGCGGACGCTGTAGTGGAATTTCGGTTTCTCCTTCTTGAAACTTCTTCACCCAACGCCACACATTGTAAATGTCCACAACAGCGTCCCCATAAACATTTCCGTAACTGCGTGGCCCTCTTTTCAATTCAATGTAATTCAGTCAACCAGTTTTCACTGATAATTTAAATATCTGTTTTGGGTAGAGTTCACTTTTATACAAATTTATATGTCCAAATGTTAAGAAACTTAACCCACCGAGACTGTCTTTCCATGCTTTCTATGCGGAGAGATTCCCAACGTGAATTCAGAAGGGTCATTTGCTCTTGAATCTCATTTTCTTCATCCACCGAGAGGTCCCCTTGGGCAATCAGCTGGTTTCCTGCCTGCAAAACATTTCCTACACTGCTCTGGTGTGCTGTCAGTTCCATCATGAATGCCTGAGAAAGAAGAGGGCAAATTAAACATTTTATATTGTTGCAATGAACAATCATCTTGAATCTTTGTGGTTGATTCATTAAATGAGTATATTAGCTGTATGCACATCTGTCAACCAATCAAGTAAAAAAGGAAATGTCTCTAGTTTATGATTGGGTGTTTATTGTAAATACGGGTTCACTTGGAGTCTATAATATGCACCTTTAGTAAATTAACACCTTGGTGTACCATAACTTGGGTCTTAAAACTCCTTGAATACTTTAAAGATGAAATCCAGGCAGATATAAAAGATGCTCTATAATCATTATTACATCAATAACTTTACGGTATCAGTCTCTTACAGTAAAATGTACAGTCTGCACAACGGAGTTTTAAAAATGAGGGAGAGAAAGAGCAGGAGGAACCAATCAGATGTGCATTGCAAGGAGCTTTCTGATAGGATGAGAGAGCAGGGTGAGAGGGAGAAAAGCTCATCAGTCTTTTGACTCTCCCTTCACTGTCCAACCACAGGGTGGGGGGGATAAGTTAAAGTGAAGCTGCAGCAGAGAAATATCAGGTGCCCTTCTCCGCTAGACATGACTGTGCTGTGTGGCAGAGATGTAAATCTCAGAACCAGATGGACAGAAATACATCTGTGTGTTTAGTGCTTTGCATGGTGTTCAGCTTTAATATTATTCAGCTTGCTGTAGATAATTTCTGTATTACATATAAAGCTAATTACATACAATGAACGTACATATGAGACAGAACTTATATTTTGGATATTATTTGTATCCAGAACCCCTACAAGAAGGATGTTATAAAACTTAGCTAGCAATTACATGAGATACTGTCCTCTTCCCCTACCTTCCATTCCTTTATCCACTTATGAAGCTGTTTAACTAAAACATGAACAATCAGGCAAGTCTTGCCTGTCAAGTGCAATGGTGATTGTTCAGGCTTCTTGCCAACCTTCCTTTTATGAACTAAAACAGCTTCTTGCATCTGCACTGCAGTTCTCATATACTGTTTGAAAGTGTAAACCAAGGTGAACTTTGGCCTCTTTCCATTAGTTATCAGCAGTATTTGCATGAATATGGACATAGATTAAGACACTGCAAATTTCTTATACTTGATGAAAATGATTTAAAGTGACACTAAACTCAGGAGTTACAGGAGAGCTATGGGGGCAATCTTTTTTGCCCATAGTTCTTCTCAGGGTCCAGAGAGGACATATACCGAAGGGAATTTATCAAAACTGGTGCAGAGAAAATCTGGAGCAGCTGTGCATGGCAACCAATCAGCTTCTCTCTTTAATTTTTAAATCTTAAAAGAGAATCTGATTGGTTGCCATGGGCAACTGCTCCAGATCCTGTTTGCTCCAGTTTTGATAAATTCCCCTCACTGTGTCCTCCGGATCCCCAAAACTTAGTATATAGCGGGCTATTGCCCGCTATATGCTGATAGCGCCGACAATACTGGATCCCGACAATACTGCTGAGATCCACCCCACTGGCTGATTGGCAGCTCGCTCTGCCTTTCTAGAAGCAGAGCCAGCTGTGTCCGCCCCCTCCCCTGTCTGTTCCTCCAGTTAGCGCTGGAGAAACGGAGACTGGAGGGGGGAATCCCTGCGGAGAGTAGTGACTGACAGTCATAGTTCTCTGCAGGGAGAGGATCGGGAAGTCAGCGATCGGTGGTGTCTGTTCGCTGACTTCCCGATCAATAGAGCCGACCTGTGACAGCTTCCTTGTCACGTGTAGGCTTGAATTATGGAGATAAGTGTTTTCACTCACCCCATAATTCTCCGTTAAATCTTAAAAATTCATTCAAGTACCCTAACTATTAACAAACATGTAACTTATTCGTGTATCACAGCTGTAGATCCTTAAGTCATCTCTGAATTCATGCTGACCCTGTCCTTCCTTCTGGAGGGTTGCTACTTTTTTTCCTCATGGTCCCTCTGTGTTTTATAAAGTAGCCACCACTCCAAGCTCGCTCCTGTGAAATTAGTAAACTAAACAAGAGATTGTAGTCCATCACGGGAGTGAGCTTGGAGTGGTGGTTTCTCTACAACACACACAGCACAGGGACCATGGAGAACAAAAGTAGCCACCCTCAGGAAGGTAGGACAGTGTCAGCATGAATTCAAAGATAATTGGAGAATCTACAACTGAGTGATACCCAAATAAGATACATTTTTGTTAATAGTTAGGGTACTTGAATGCATTTTTAAGATTTAACTCTTGAGTTTAGTCTCACTTTAAAAAACAAGAGATTAGAATGAAGCAAGATTTTGCCCACTAAAGTGATAACATTTCAACCTGTGTTTAGAACAGCTGACTCCAAACTTTTAAGTCGAGGGCACATCATATATTTTGTAAATATTTGCAGGCCGATAATAATAATTAGTTTTATAAAGGAATAAATAAAGTTTAAATGAATGATTAAGTCCCCCTTCCATCCAGTAATGCCCATTTGAGTACCCTTTCCACCCAGTAGTGTCCATCCCCTTACATCCAGGAGTGCCCATAAAAGTCCTCTTATACATCCAAGAGTGTTCATCAGAGCCTCCATTCCACCCAGAAGTGTCCATCAGACTGCCCCTTAAATCTAGGAGTGCCCACCAGAGACCTGCCCCCTTACATTCAAGCAGGGAGGTGAAGCAAGTCTGAACAGAGGAGGTCCAGCAATCTGTAATGCTGAGGATGGGGAACCACATTGGTTGCTAGAATGCAAACAGTCCTAGCAACCAACCACAGCAGAGGGGGGGAGGTGGAAATCTGTGCTAGGGGCTGGGGCAGGGTTACAGCTGCCTGGCAGTGGATGTGCAAGTCTCCGTATTTCAATACACAGAATGGTGCATGCGCTGCCAGTCAGAGGGGGATGCTGAGGGCTGGATAAAATCTTGCAATGGGCGATCCCATGGGCCATAGTTTGGAGACCCCTGAATTAAAACTTTTTTTCTCTATTTATATATTCAGTTAAACCCACTTCATGAGTAGCAAATTGTTGTTTAACTTCTTCTACATCATCCGATATATCATCTTGGTCCTGAAAAGTGTCTTCTGCCATAAGAAGCCAAGTGAGGACATCTTCAAGGGCTACTTGATAGCTATCAAGATCCATTTCTACTTCAGTTACTGTACTGTGTGTCTTAGGACCAGAGTCTCTATAAGGTTCATCTGAGACCTGCTGTAAAAAAAAGGGAAGAACACATGAAAAATGATAATAGACTTTCAATACATTTTTAAAATTTGCTTTAGGAGATCTCAGCCATGGCTCCTGTGCCTCTGAATTACTGCTAATAAGGTTACCGTTTAAGCAGGGGGGCAACAGGTTATCTTTATCTGTTATCTTTATCTTGGACAAGACATTTCAAATTTGGAACGCAATTAAAGTGTTGTTTGAGGTAGGCCATGTAAAATGACAGAGCGGGGTCAGCGCATTCTGAAGTGCACAGTGCACAGAAGTCGCAACTGTCTGCACAGTCAATAGCTACAGATCTCCAAACTTTGTGTGGCCTTCAGATTGGCACAACAACAGTGCGTAGAGAGCTTCATGAAATGGATTTCCATGGCCGAGCAGCTGCATCCAAGCCTTACATCACCAAGTGCAATGCAAAGTGTCGAATGCAGTGGTGTAAAGCACGCCACCACTGGACTCTAGAGAAGCGGAGACGTGTTCTCTGGAGTGACGAATCATGCTTCTCTGTCCGGCAATCCGATGGACGTGTCTGGGTTTGGCATTTGCCAGGAGAACGGTACTTGCCTGACTGCATTGTGCCAAGTGTAAAATTTGGTGGAGGGGGGATTATGTTGTTGTGTTCTTTTTCAGGGGTTGGGCTTGGCCCCTTAGTTCCAGTGAAGGGAACTCATAAGGCATCAGCATACCAAGACATTTTGGACTATTTCATGCTCCCAACTTTGTGGGAACAGTTTGGGGATGACCCCTTCCTGTTCCAACATGACTGCGCACCAGTGCACAAAGCAAGGTCCATAAAGACATGGATGAGCGAGTTTGGGGTGGAGGAACTTGACTGGCCTGCACAGAGTCCTGACCTAAACCCGATAGAACACCTTTGGGATGAATTAGAGCGGAGAATGCGAGCCAGGCCTTCTCCTCCAACATCAGTACCTGACCTCACAAATGCGCTTCTGGAAGAATAGTTAAACATTCCCATAGACACACTCCTAAGACTTGTGGACAGCCTTCCCAGAAGAGTTGAAGCTGTTATAGTGGCAAAGGGTGGGCCAACTCAATATTGAATCCTACGGACTAAGACTGGGATGCCATTAAAGTTCATGTGCGTGTAAAGGTAGGCATCCCAATACTTTTGACAATATAGTGTATGTATATATCTTGCTCTCTAAGATAACTGTGCAGAAATACCTGTTCATCCTGCCAGCATCCTTCACTTCTGTCTTGTGGGGAAAAAAGAACTAGCCATAGGGTTGGATTCCTGTGGCAGCACTGTTGGGCTACCGTCTGGCTCCCACAACCTGACCTGAAGCAATGCTGACGCACAACATTCCTGTAGTCCAACATAGTTGACCTGTGACAGCAGAGGTAGCCAAGCCTCCTGGCCCATATGAGCTCTCTGACTGTCATTGGCCTATGTAGGGAGTACCACTGTCAGCAATGAAGGATAGGCAAGAGGTAGCTGTGAAGAAGGTGGAAGGAACCTTAAAAGAAGAATTTGCACCCTCTCAGCTTTTAGTCTCTGCACAGGCAAAGCGGTCATGCAAGTATTATTAAATCCAGAAAAAATGATATTTATCACAATATATTTTTTTTTTAACTGAGGGCCACAGTATAAGAATATGTGCTATATTTACATATTTACATATATTTGCTTATTAGTTATTTGTTTAGAATGATTTTAATTCAAACAACTTAAAAAATAGAAATGTGCGCTTAGCTTTCTAAAGAGGGAACATTTATTTATTCTTAAGTTTACTCTTACTAAAAAGTTGTTCCAGCAAACATTATACATACGAAGATGTGAGTCTTCAGATTTCTGTTTCCTGGGAATGAGCTTATGACATAGAATACATGCTGGAACATGGAGTACACACCCGATTGGTTGTATCACTGCTGTCTAACATTTCAATGCATTAATTTTTAATAATGCTCTTCACAAGCTTGTAAACAAGGGTGGGGGACAACAGTAGACTTTAAAGAGATGGCTCCATTAAACATGAACTCACTCCAATTGTATGGTGCATTTTCAGCAATTAAATAAAATATCTACATCTTTGATAGACTGCAAGCAACATAATGCTTTGGGAAGCAGTTCACACATCAGAGAGAAGTCTTTATTGGATTTTACTGTGAGAGTGTCCAATAATGCTTAATCTTTTAATTGTCCTAAACTGATGCCTTGGGGTCTCTCATATTTTAGTTATAGTACAACTGTTAGAAAAGAAATATGTAGCTGACCATTGTTGGCCTCTTTTTGAAAATACTAGTTTCCCAGCTGTCTCTGGTTTCACTACTTCTAATAACAGTCCTGGAACAAGCATGCAACAAAAAATGTGGCAATAAATGTGAAAATTCCTTATTTCTTTACTTGATCTCAGTTAGCGACTTAAAACCTATCCTGGGGGGGAAACAAGGGTTAACTGCTTGTTTAGGTCTAGGGTACCAGGGTAAAAGACTTCTGCACTCATCCCCACTCCCACACGCTCCTTCCAGACTCCAAGAACAGCACCCACAGCTTCTTCCCCCCCCCAAGTTCCAGCAGTAGGAGGCCTACTGATGTCATCACATACAATGCAGGGCCCAAAGCCCTGCATTATTTGTGAGGACACCAAGTCCACAAGCTGGAGCGTAGGGAACATGAGGAGAGCAACAACTGTCAGGGAAGCGGTAAAGTAAAGTAAAATACAGGAAAACTGCAGTTCTTAATACCCATAGACCTAAATAAACAGTTAACCCTTAGCCCTCATTCACACGAGAAACGGCTGGCTCGTACAGATCCGGGCTGCGTGCACGGCTGTATCGGGCAGCTCCCGAGGACAGGTGCTGCATGTGATTTCTAGGCAGTAGCCTGCCCTTCCCTATGGGAGTACACGGCCGTAAGATGCTTTGCGGCCGCCCAAACAGTTTCTTTTTCTCGGGCGGGAGCGCGCAAAGAAAAAAAGGTAAGTTTAAACCGCTGTTTTAGCATTTTGTTTTGTTTTTAAAACTGTTTGCCTATATCTACTGATTGATAGCAGTAGATATAGGCAAAAAAACGGGAGGGTTTAGAACCCCTTTAAGTTGTTAATTCAGATTTCTTGATCGTTGCCGAGATGTTTCTACACCTTGATTGGAGTCCACCAGTGCTAAATTAAGTTGATTGGACATGATTTGGAAATACACATACCTCTCAACAGAAGACCTCACAACTGGCAATGCATACTGTATCAGAGCAAAAGCCATGAGGCCAAAAAAACTGCCTGCAGAGTTTAGAGACAGGTTTATTGCAAGGCACAGATCTCAGGAAGGCTACAAAAAAAAATCTGCTGCACTGAAGGCTCCCAAGAGCACAGTGGCCTCCATAATTCCAAATTGAGCAATCGAGGGAGAAGAGCCTTAGTAAGAGAGGTGACCAAGAACCCAATGGTCACTCTGACTGCGCTCCAGAGATCCTGTGTGAAGATGGGACAAAGTTCCAGAAGGACAACCATCACTGCAGCCCTCCACCAATCTGGACTTTATGGCAGAGTGGCTAGACGGAAGCAAAACACATGAAAGGCCCAGGAGCCCCAGGAGTTTGCAAAAAAGATATTGGAGGACTCTCAGACTGTGAGGAACAAGATTCTCTGATCTGTTGAAACCAAGATTGAACTGATTGGCCTCAATTCTAAGCGTTATGTCTGGAGGAAACCAAGCACCGCTCATCACCTGCCCAATACCATCCCAACAGTAAAGCATGGTGGTGGCAGCATCACGCTGTGGAGGTGTTTTTCCAGCAGCAGGGACTGGGAGACTGGTCAGGGTTGAGGGAAGCTGAATGGAGCAAAGTACAGAGATATCCTCAATGAAAACCTGTTCCACAGTGCTCAGGACCTCAGACTGGGCCAAAGGTTCACCTTCAAACATGACAATGATCCTAAGCACATAGCCAAGACAACACATGAGTGGCATAGAGACAACTCTGTCAATGTGCTAGAGTGGCCCAAGCCAGAGCCCTGACTTGAACCCTATTGAACATCTCTGGAGAGACCTGAAAATGGCTGTCCACCGACAGTCCCCATCCAACCTGACTGAGCTTGAGAGGATTTTCAAAGAAGAATGGCAGAATATACCCTCAGTTTTTTCTTTTTCATAAATTCACAGACATTTCTAAAATTCTGTTTTCACTTTGTCATTATGGGGTACCGAGTGTAAATTAATAAGAAAAAAAATACTTTAAGCAATTGTAGTATTAGGCTGCAACATAGCATAATTGAAAGAAAGTGAAGGAGGTCTGAATACTTTCTGAAGGCACTGTATATACAGTATATAATACATATTCTCGAGACCAGTAGAGATGGTGCATATGAATATATCATATTTACTATTTTCAGTCACCCAGTACAGCTCAAGAAACATTCTCACATGCTTAGCAGGCTAACATTAAGCTGAAATTGAAATTACAGAAAAAGCTCTTCCTGAAAAGTAGCAATTAAATACTGCCCACTCTGATGGAGAGAAATTATTGACTGAAATCTATTTAGAAACCAGCACTTATGGGAGTGTAGATCTTTTACCCCCCCCTGAACTTAGGAAACAGTAGTGATATTGGGGATCTTTGGCAGGAGAGGTCCGTGAGATTGACACTCCTGGAAGTGTCAGCTTCTAAAGAGGCTTTAGTGGAAGATCTCTCTTCATCAGAATGGCCTTCAGTGACGCAGGCAGTGGGAGAGGTAAGTATTTACTTCTATCTTTGCAAAGAGAGAGCTTTTGTTGGCTATTTTAGTGACAGGATTGCTTTAAAAGTTTTGTAGACAAAAACAGCTTGTTTACAGAGTGAAAAAGGTGGAGCTCAGATTACACAAATGGCTGAATACTTTGAGAAAAATAGTCAATAGCTACTCCTGCTTTTTACCAGTATCTATTTAATCTATTGCTCTTTAGTGAGACTAAGCTCTGTCCTAAGCTATAGTCTTCTCTGCCAGATGCTGGAAGGTTACCTCATCAATGTGCTGCTGCTCCCTCATTAATCAGTCAGAAGGCCAGGGCAGGGAGGTCACAACACTCTATTCACCTCCTGGCTCCAGTGTGGCAAGGATGTTTGAATCACAAAAGTGGCTGAACACAATCACAATCATTTTCACAGGTAAAACATTTCTATAAGGACTCAACCACATGGCCATCCAACATAAATATGAGCGTATTTCCCCGCTCAGCAGCAACAGGTGGTGCATACAGCCACCCATGGCAATCAATGGCTATGTGACTGTACGCCAGACTTTCTGTGTTTGCGGTTGTGCATCTGCATCTGTAATGTGTGTGTTTACACCAGCCCAGCATATACCTGTTTACAGCCGCATACAGCCATTGATTTCTATGGGCGGCTGTATGCTGCACCTGTGGCTCCTGGATGTGGAAATATGCTCAAATTGACTTTTAAAGCCTGTGTGCATGAGCCCTAAATGTGTTTCAGCTGAGTCCTGTATATTCATAGCTCCATATTAAAAAGGTCTTATTTAAAGGAGAACTATGGGGTCAGTGTTTTCCCCCATAGTTCTCCTTAGGGTAACGGGAGGACACAAACTAGCATCCTCCCGTTACCCTAAGCTCAGTATACCGCGAGCTACAGCTCGCGGTATACTGAGACGCCGCAGCCGGATCCCGACCTGGACGTCGGGATCCACCCAGCTGCGTGAGTGACAGCTGGCTCTGCCTGTCTAGAGGCAGAGCCAGCTGTACCCGCCCCCTCCCCGTCCATTCTACCAGTCAGCGCTAGCAGATCGGAGCGGGGAGAGGGGAATCCAGCCCCTACCCCTGTCACGGCAGAGAGCCGTGACAGGATCAAGAGGTGAGCAAACCCGGTATGTGTTTGCTCACCTCCCGATCTACTGAGCCGACCTGTGACAGTCTCATTGTCACAGGTCGGCTAGAACTATGAGGTGAGTGGAAATCACTCATCTCATAGTTCTCCTTTAAGAAAACAAATAACATTTGTTAAATAATTGTTAAAGTTTAATTTTTTAGGCCAAACAGCATGATGTTGGAAAACCAAGATGCTTCGCTTATCCTCATGAGTATAAAAGCAATCACGAAGTAGAACTGAGCTGGCCAAATGTAATGGCGTGTCTCCCATTCTGTTCAGCTTTGTCAGTTGTCATCACACTGCAGTTTATGATGATCCTCCACAAAGCAGTCTGAGAAAGTGTGCCAGCAGTACAAGAGCTTGCTCCTTACATATTACAATGTCGCATAGCTGAGAAATGAGCAGACACACTGTCATTTCTAAGAAATGCTGGTATTCTCTAATTATGAAGACAGTGGGGGATCAGTCTGCTGAGGATTAACAGAGCACGAGGAGTGAAATGAGCTGAGAATGAGGATTAGAACTGAAGAGGTTGCCTGAAGTTTAAGGAAAGAAATGCACTTTTACAAAATGTAGATTTTTTTTATATAACAAAAAGTAGATTTTGTAATAATTAATAAGAGAATGGCCAGTGCATGAATTCATTCGTTAAAATGTACTTTTGTCCTATGTTAGCCATCGATGTTAAGAGCTGCCCATAAGACAACCATTTTCGTTGACATGAGATGTAGCAAACCTAGATTAAGTCGCTAGCTTTCATTTTCAACACTGAAGAATAAAAGTCTTTACTTTTCCGAGCTGTTCTGAGAAAGTATTTAACATATATTAGTGCACCTCTGTCTTGCAGCAGTGAGGTCCCTGGTTTGAATCCAATTTTGGTCAGGACACTACCTGCATGGAGTCTGCATGTTCTTCGCGTGGTTGGGTGGGTTTCCTCCATTTCTTCCCAAACTCCAAAGACAAGCTGGTAGGTAAATTGGCTCCTGTCAAAAACAGGCCCTAATAGCTCCTTCCTTGCAGCTCTGTCCCCACCTCTGTCCTCCATCCCACCGTCCCCCCTCCAAGATGCTGTCTCCATCTTTTCTTCTCCTTGACTCATCGAGAATAATATAAAGGAGATCTGCTGCAGCACTTCAGCAACCGATCTTACCTTGTCCAGTTACTGAAGCGCTGCTGCAGATCACCTTTGTGTTATTCCAGGGAGCAAGGAAGAAAAGATTGAGACAGCAGCGTGGAGGGCAGACGGGGACGGAGCTTCTGCACCTGTGTGGGTATTTATGAACACGCAGCGGCTCCTGAGTGTTCAGCGAGAAGCTTAGCCCTGCCCACAGTATATTATAATAAATCACAAGCTTATGGTGGTTCTATAATTACAGGAGTACATTGCAAAATATATTCCTGTATCATAAGGGAACAAAAAATGTCAAAAAGGTGTATCCTCTAGTTCCCCTTTAAGTAGATTGAATGCACTTTCTTAGCTCACTGATTACTGCATGGAATTATTCTATAATATTCTACCCTATAGTTATTTAAATTTAAATTGTTTATAATCCCCTGCACCTTGCCATGATGCAGTTCACTGGGGTATTTTGACAGTGTACTTCCTGAAGCATGTGCTGTAGAACCACATTTTTAGACATAAAGTTTAGTTGCATGTGAGATGCACAATACAGCAGTGGGTGTAACAGGGGTTCTCAGGTCATCAGCTAAGTTACAAAAGGCAGTTTGGTGGACTGATGCACAACAGCAATGCCTGAATGAAAAGAATAAGTGCCAAGAAGGTGGGCTGTGTTCCCTACACACATTGCAAGGCTTAATTTTCAGTTATGACTTAAGGAGATATATGGTATACAGTGTTAGTATTATTACATACCTGTTGCTTTGTGAAAGGCATATCCTCATATGCTCCCTTAAATCTCCTAGGAAGAGTCTCTACCTCATGGATATCATCCAGAGTTACTTCATGAGGAAGCACCTCAAAAAGGGATGTTACGTACATAAGTATGGATTTCTTGTCAGGTAGTGACACTGCCACATCTGTATAGGAACCACAAGTGAGCATAGTTTAGAGACAGACTGAGAAGAATATATGGCATTCGTCATCCACATTACTTTACATAACTACCTGACTGATGAGATGAATAAAAAGATTTCAAAAGTAGCAAATGTAATCCTGCAGCTATTCACACACTATTTTCAAGCTGTTCTACAAATGATCTTCCTTTATTCTCAGCCTTAAAGCTACCAATACATTAGATGATGGCATTTTTATTATCTGATGTATTTTTCTTACAGGATGACTAAGGTACATATACACTTATTAATGTATATAATCCACTTCAGCCCTCACACCTGCCTACCCTCTTTGGACCAGAGCAATGATTACATTTCTGATATTAGTGTGTTCTGAGGTTTTTTCCCCGATACAAACAAGGCTTTAATTTGATTATATTTTATTTTTCATTCAATTTCTAAACAAAGACATTTAAAAAACATTTTTTTATTGTAAAGTTGTTTAAATGACCTCATATCCTGATCAAAGTTCACATCTTTGATCTGCATATAAATGAAACAAAGTAAATACAATGTCACAAAAATGTTCTTACATTGCATTTCTCAATGAAGATTCAGAATAAGCTCCAGCTGTAATTTTGACACCAAGGATTTGCAGGCAATAGCGGCTAGGGGAGCAGTGGCAGGGGAAAAGAACAGGGCATTCATTGTACACGCTATACTCATTTAGTAAATCAAACCCAATTTCTCTCCACTAAATAACTACTGACCATCGATACCTGGACGTTCTTACGCCCAGTGACATTTTCTTCTTCCTAACAACACTGATAAGGTAATGGGGCAAATCTTCATCCCACTGACAAGGACGGCAGGTCATTTGGGTATTTTTCTACCACTTAAACCAGCTTTAGAGTGCTCTTAATTCCACCAACACCAATTTTGAGCCATGTTTTTCATCCCATTGACATGGACACAAATTCCTCTTCTCACTGATTAATTAAACCGGGGCATTCTTCTTCCCACTAACCACCAACATGGGGCCATATTCTCCTGCTGCTTACAGATCTTTACCACTGTGCTGTGCATGCAACATATGAACCTCCTACCAAGTTTTCACTCTTTTTAAGTTTTAAAGTGCAGACGGTATCCTATATTTACTCTCGTTGAAGAGATCTCCTGTCTCACTTACCAAATGTCAATGCCACAGTAAGTGAAAGATATACTACTACACAAACAGAGAAAAAAAAACTTCACAGTGGTTCTAATTCTTGCCCACTCTACTTAAAAAAGAATGAACTAAAAACTAGGATGTCACTTTAAGCATTGGTTTTCACTTTTACTTTCCCACAAGCTGCTGGAAAGCTACTGAAACCAAGTGTAGAAGTGAAAAGGTTATGATCTTTCTTTGGCACCTGCTTATTTAGTTTTCACTCTCACATTCTTTTCTGTCTCTGTCATGCTCTAGATAAAGCTAATCCAACTCAAAACTACAACAGATCTACTAAAATTCTAGCCCAAGACTGGAATTTAACAAAGGTCCTTCACTAGAGTATACTTCTTCTAAATAACTAATGTTTACTAAGCAGCAGAAAAACTACAAGTGGATGAATATAGCCAAAAAGCCAAGAGTTGTTCTGTATGAAAAAATGCTGCTCATCCACCAGGAACATAAAGATAACAAGGTGCGGTGTAGCTGACATGCATTGCAATGACATTCCAGAACACTTCTGCAGCATTACCTTCAGGGTCAAGCAGCTTTTCAATTCCTAAGTGCTTTTTTGCTATGCTGAAAGCATGGTCTAGCCTTTCAGTTGGGGAGAGCCTGATAACTTTTTCCCAGCTAAACAAGTCCGGTCTGAAATAAATATAACCAGGACAAATTCATACATAAACACAATAAAAACACAATGAGAACATCGATGAATGCATAAAAATACTTTAAAAAAACATTTTAAACAAAATGTCAATGAAAGCAATCAAAGGAACTTATTTCGGGTCGCCCGAACATGCTGGGCATGTTCGGCCGACCCGAAGCCACGGGAAGCAAGCCGATCTACGGCTGATTTCAGCCGATATACGGCTGAAATCAGCCGTATCAGCCTGAAGTGAATAGCCAAACAGTGTTCGACTCACTTCACTTCAGATCGGTCATTCACTCGGCTGCCCTCGGCAGCTTCGTGAATAGACCCCTTAGTGTAATTTTTTTCATAATGACATTGACATTTAGTAGCCGCTGATTTCCAGCAAACATTGGGAATTTCACATGAGGTCTAATTTTGTAAATCAAGAATTATTATAGGAATTCTTGGTTTCATTTCTAATTTTACCCTCACTGTGTCTTTTTAACAAGTACACATTTTGAGGTATAATTAAGCACATTAAAGTTATTTTTGACATGGCTGGTGTACATCATGTGTGCATTTTCATGTACTTCCATAGATTTGTATTGGACGTAAAACACAAAAAAAATGCTTTGAAAAATAGACATACTTCCTTTTTACAAATGCATTGCAATGCAGAGCACAGACATGAACAAGTGAATTGCATTACATCTGTTTTGATTACACATTGTTTTGCCTTCTGACGCATGCGTTTATATACAAAGGTGTGAACCAGGCCTGAGGGTATCTCAACAATAGTTAAAGGAAAACTATGAGGTGAGAGATTTCCACTCATCCTCATATTTAGAGCTGACCTGTGACAAAGAAACTGTCACAGGACGGCTATATTGATCGTGAAGTGAGCAGAAACATGCAGCAGATCCACTCACCTCCCGATCATCTCTCTGCAGTGAGCAGTGGTTGTCAGCCACCACTCCCCGCAGGGATTCCCCCCTCCCCTCTCCGATCCTTGAGTGCTGACTGGAGGAAAGAACGGGGGAGGGGCGGGCACAGCTTGCTCTGCCTCTAGATAGGCAGAGCCAGCTGTCACTCACGCAGCTGGGTGGATCACGACAGTATTGTCGTGAACCATCCCGGCTGTGGTTCTCTCAGTATTTTGCGGGTAATATCCCGCTATATACTGAGCTTTGGGTCACGGGGGGAGGTTAGTATATGTCCTCCCGTGACCCTAAAGAGAACTATGGGGAAAAACACTTACCCCATAGTTCTCTTTTAAGCAGAATGCTAGTGACATTCTCCTACTTACAGATGACCATTAAAGAGGAGCAATAGAAGTCTATATTAGAGCTGCAGCTAACGATTATTTTCAAAATCGATTAGTTAGCCGATTATTAGGTTCGATTAATCGGATAAACAATAAAATAAAGTTTAAAAAATGGCTCCAGGGATGGACTACTAGTTTGTATTGAGGTTGTAGTTCATCACAGGAGCAAGCTTAGAGCGGTGGAAGTAAAAAAGAAAAAAAAGATAGTGTGGTGTGCAATATAGTGAAATGGAAAGTGTAATGGCACCGGCTATAGAGGACTACAAAACCCAGCAAAAGCACATTATACAGCGCAATGCAGAATACCGCCAGCTATAGAGGAATACAACAAATCCCAGAAATAGTACATAATAGCTGGCGGCATTCTACATTGGGCTGTATAATGTACTATTGCTGGGTTTTGTAGTCCTCTATAGCTGGTGGTATTCTGCATTGCGCTGTATAATGTATTATTGCTGGGACTTGTAGTGCTCTATACAGTGCAATGCAGATTATCACCAGCTATAGAGGAGTACAACAAATCCCAGCAATACATTATACATACAGTGTATAATGTATTGCTGGGATTTGTATTCCTATGTATAATATACAGTACAATGTACCATCAGCTATAGAGAAATACAAATCCCAGCAATACATTATAGAGCACAATGTGTGGGAAAGTGCAGGCTTACCTGACCAGTCTTCCAGCAACTTGTTTCTGAGATCGGACCTGTCTATCAGCGGCTGTCATCCCCCCACACCTGCTCCTCCTTACTACATCTCCCCGCGTCCCTGTGCCGATCGTGGATGTGGATGGGCAGGAAATGTGAGGCGGGGAGGAGGTGCGGCGTGTGGAGCGTGGATGCGAGCGGGTCTGGCAGCGGCGAGCGTGAGGTGGGGAGGAGGTGCGGCGCACAGCGTGTGGAGCTGTGAACGAGCCAACTGATCGGAAGCCGATTAATCGATTATTGAAAAAGTTGACAACTTTTTCAATAATCGATTATAATCGGTTATGTCGATTAGTTGTTGCAGCCCTAGTCTATATATGAAATATGAAAAACATTTGGAAGGGAGCAGAAATCTGATATTTACACCAAAGGAAACTCTCCAGAAAACACTGCTATAAAAATTCAAAATCTGTATCTACTTAAAACATATAATTTAAGTTAGCCAATAAATAAAATTGCACTCTCATTAATTGCAGTATTGTTCCCTTTTTACTTCCAAAGGCTAGAGTAATACTTGTATATTGCTCCTAGCAAAGCACATTGCTACTAATGACTTTTGGAAGTAATATAGAGAGAGTAATATAGAAATGTAATGAGGTATAAAGCGAATGACACAAATATTGTAGTGTACAAAGTAACATGTCTAGAGTGATCATATGACAGGGGCACCTACCTGTGCCTGTGCAGCAGGCCATTGAATGCCAAGCCATCTGTCCAACTGGTGGTGAAATTTAGCACATTGACTTCATCATAAGGTCTTGTTGAATTCCTAACCCAGCTCAAAAGAATCTTCTCACTGTTCGTTTGCTGGAGTTCTGACATAATTGCCTTCATGACATCTTTCACCTGGCAAAAGAACCGTTATACAGGTTACAGAGGAGCTAAACAGAATTGCTTCTAGATGCTTTGGCTTGATACACCGTGTAGCTAGAACAAAAAGCAATCAAATACAAAACAAATTTGAGACTGATTTCAAACTTAAAACAGCATTTAGCTTTTATCAAAAAAGAACCCATCAAGAGAGAATAATTGCAACTTCCAGTGCTGACCTTTTTGAGGATGTTAGTTTCCTGGCTGTCATAGTAATTCTTTAGCTTTAATGCTTACTATGTCACAGAGGCAGACCAAGTACAGAGATAAAGAGTTCTGACACCTATTTTGACTTTACTACATGGTTGTTATGGGTTTATGACTCACAATTGCTGAAGTCAGACTCAGTCCTGTATCTAACAGTTTCAGAAGGAGGCTAGTAATGGCAGCCCCCATACTTCTCTCATGACAGTGTCCCTTTAACTTCAACATTTCTTTTAAAATTTGTTGGGCCCATTACTACATCCACCCTCTACTCTTCCCTAATTTATCTTGAAGCACAGCTTCTTATTTAATCACTCACTGACATATGGCATGACTTCTGTACTACAGTGAGAGGCCAAATAATGAATTACTCCAGAGCCTTCCCACTTTTCATTTCAACAGTGCAAAGGCCTTGCTACTACAATGTGTACAAAAAGTGGTTTTAATTTTGTTCGGAGAAGTCAAGACATTTTATAAATGGTTATTTCTACTGTTTCATTGCCCTCCTGTTAAAAGCAAGTACACTGTGCTTAGATAAAATCTGAGAAATTAATAAACGGATTAGCAATGACATGTAATTACAGGACTAGGGACATGTGTCAACAACTCATGCCAACTGTCATCACCTGACCTCTTCCTTATTACATGGTGTAACCTAAAGGTGGTCTGTTAGACACCGCATTTCAAACTATGATAAATACTATGGGGGTTTTTAAGTTCTTGGAAGCAGAGGTAGGTGGGTCTCTGGGCAAATCTGATCCATTAAATGCTACTAGTTTACTATAAACAGATTATCAAAAGGGCAAAGGCCTGATTCAGTGTTAGCAAGAAAACCTGAGTTCTCAGAAACTGAAACTTTCATCTTTTAACCCCCTCGTGACTGACGATGTACAGTGTACATGGCATTTAATTAAATGTTTCACTAAATATTGGGGTTTAATAAGGAGTTGCGCTAATATTGCGCAACATAAAAATTTGCAACTACCACCATTTTATTCTATAGGGTCTTGGCATTCAGGAAATATATAATGTTGGGGGGTTTTAAGTAATTTTCAGGCCTAAAATTTGGAATATAACATGGGTACAAAAAATGAAAAAAAAAGGCCTCAGTCATGAAGGGGTTAAAGAAAACCTGTTATGAAAAATATGTAGTCTGCCATTACTGACCTCCTTATGATAATGCTCTTTACCTAACTGTAACGTTGATCTGTTGCTTCCAATGCTTTCTACTTAGTATGCAGGTCAGAATGTTTTACTTTGCATTGACTTTACTCAATGCATACTTGCTGTGGGTCAGTGACTCAGAAAGTGCTATATCCAGGATCATAGGATCAGGATCATGTACAGGCAACTAAAACTTTCAGAAGGTGGTCAGTAATGGTAACAATTTTCTCTTATGAAAGGTTTTCATTATCTTTACATTTTTCTTTATATCCACATTTTTTTACATAAATCATTTTTTTAGAGTCGGACTGTTCCTTGGAAATTTCTTGACACAGGAACACTTTTCCAAATATACATCATAAACTTCGGACTAGCTATGGAATGTACATATGTAAGTTGTTAGTGAAAACTATCCCTCTACACCATCAAATGATATATGTATGGGACCAAAGCTGACTGTACATTCATACTACAGTTGTATTGGCAGACTTTTTAGTAACCCATGGCTATCCCAACCTTAAAGGGAAATACATGCAATGGCATTGACCATTTCTAAATTACGTATGATGTGCAGTAAATTAATGTACACTAAAACCTTATGATATAACCTCCTATTTCTTGTGTTCCTTGTCTATCTACATCAGCAGTTTATAGTCTTGACAGCCCAGACCAAGCAACAGTCTGCTCTGTTTGAATGCTCAGAGGGAGGGCAGTTATCAGCCCCTTTATTTGCTTCCTTTTACCCAGTGCTGTGGCTGTGCTATCCCTACATGTGTACACCAGAGTCTCCACTGGGAGCAAAGAACCCAAAAAGACTTTTGAGGGGTAGAAGGAGGGTTGCTACTAAATAAACAATTAAGTTGTTAAAGATTTTGTATATACAGGCCATCTTTTCATCACCTGCCAGTATGCACAGGAACCTCAGGGATGTGCTCATCACCCAGTGCCCTGCCAGAATTCTTTCCAACAACTACATGTCATTTAAACCAGTGGTTCTCAACCTGTGTAACCTCAGGACCCACATTTATCCTTGGTCATTAACCGCACCGCACTAGAATGCATAGCATTGCAGTACCGTGCATTCCACTGCAGGCAATGGAACTGTGGGCGGGAGGTGCGTTTGGAGTGCCATTCAACTGAATGGCAATGCAACATACATCCCACACCCGAACATTCAGTAGGTACGATTGCACGGTACAGTGCGTTAATTGCACACCACTGTGCGATTAACAAACTGTACTAGTGTGAACGGGCCCCCAAAAACACTGACAGACACACACAACCACAGACACAATCTGACACACTCCCCAAAAATTTTAATTTTATTTTTCTTTGTAAGATCCACCAAGTATTCCTACCTTATGAGAACTGGAGTGGATTCTTAGCCTGGGGTCCAGTGTGAGCTGCTTTGCTGTGACAGAGATTCATCCATAAGTGCATTGCTTGTACAGCTCCCTTGTGTGCCCTGTAGAGGTGACGGCAGCCAGAATGTGACGTCACTCCAGTCCTGGCACCTCTACAAGGCACGCGAGGGAGCTGTACAAGCAATGCACGTATGGATGGAGCTCCCTTTCTCACCCCACCACAAGATGACACTAGGGGCCGGGCAGCATATTTTGATTAGCTGCACAGCGTGATAACTAACAGTGCTGTGCTAGGGGCAGGCTGAGGAGCCTCTCACCTAGTGCAGTGGAAGGCATACAATGACCCACTGAAAATGGGGTTTGGGACCCCTTTTGGGTGGCGACCCACCAATAGAGAACCATTGATTTAGACAGTCTACGGGAACAAACATTGAGGCTCTTCTCCTCACAATGATGGAAAAATAGCACCAGTTGTGTTGTTCCTGCCCCTTTTATGTAACTGGCCAAGAAATGAAGAAAAATGTTAAGGGTCAGTATAGATGGGCAATGTATGGTTGTGGTTTTTACATGTGATTACAGTATTCAGCATATTAATTACTTCTATAGTCCATATGCCTTTTTTATGGACTAGCATGCAGACCAAGCTGTCAAGCAAAAGTGATGGTGATAGCAATAACCATAACACTGACAGGGGTGTTTCTATCTGTTACCTTTTATTGTGAAAAAAAACAAACTGCTCAAAGATCCCTGACAGAGTTATACATTCGGGTTGATTTACTAAAGACATAATTGGGTGATGATAATCAGTACAGCTTCACCGCACTCACTAAAATAAGGGAAGACTTCACTGCAAAGTGCAAATTCCCTTGCAATGTAAATAGCCTGTTTGTAACAAAATCTGTCACTGGTCTACATGTAAATGTAAAAAATGTTTTAACCACTTACAGTACATCTGTCCTACAATAGGAACATACAAGGCTTGTGTGCAACACTGAAAGGTCTTGAAACATGATAGAAGCTGCTTGAATCATCTCATAGGCCAATCATAAGAAAATCAAAGCAACTCAAATGTCAAAACAACACACCATTTTCCCCGAAAGCATACTGCATTGATTTGCTTATGTGTCCATTTACATGAATCCTGGAAGAGACTGCCACCACATATGGAAGAAGAGAAAGACCATAGAAGAGGTGGACTAATCCTATTAAAGATAACCTAAACGATCTGGGAGGCATAAGATGGAGACTGAAAGTAATGAATTGAGTGAAATGGGCTACAACTGTGCAAATATTAGCATGATGAAGAGCAGTTAAGGAATAGATCTGATAATGCTTGTTTGAAATATAATTTAACTTTTACTATGAGCTATTCATTTGCAATGTCCATGCAGCATCACCATGGTTGATAACTTTACCAAAGATAACCTCCATACTCTTTTCGGCAGTATGGCCTGCAGGCTCCCACTGTTTATTTCTTGCTGTGCTATTAACAATCTGCCCCCAATTGGAAGTGCTGTTCCTTTAGCCCAATGCACAGAAGGTATCCTGCCCCCAAACAGACCACTAGTAATGGCCAAGAGCAGCTTCTTTACAGTTAAGATTTAGGAGACTTTTCAGTGTAAAATACAAGACTTATTTTTAGTAAAAGTAACCCATCATATTTTGTTTAAAGGTGGCAGAGACAATAAAACCTTTCGGCATGTATAACACTAACAGAAACATTTGTTTATTTTTCAGTTATTTCCAGTTGCAGTTATTTCAAGAATAATCCACCACATAAAATAAAATCACAATATCATCCATATGTCTCCCGAAATGTATAAAAATAATAGGTGTAAAAGCACAACATTTCATTCTACGTGATGTTTTACCTGCCAGTGAAGGATGATGCTCCATATCAAACCAAGGGTCAGCTTGGGATTTCCATCCACAATATCTGTACCTCCTATGTTTACCAGCTCAACCTGAAAATGAAACACCTTTAGGCTTAGGAATATTGCTACTGGGTCAATTACACAACACTGAAGTATGGCTGATATAAGAAAGGCAGACAGCTGGAATCAGCAAGTTGTATATCATTAAGCCTGATCTCTATAGTGTGCATAGAAATAGAAGGGCATTATACAAACAGATTATATAGTGCAGCGGTAGGCAACCTTGGCAATGCAGCAGTGGTGAAACTACAAATCGCATAATATCTCTGCCTCTTGGAGTCATGCCTGTGGTTGTCAGTCTTGCAATGCCTCATGGAACTTGTAGTTCCACCACAGCAAGAGTGCCGAGGTTGCCTACACCAATATATTATATTGCATGCCTGGCGTCTAACGAGTGATATCCTATCCTTTGAAGATACACCTTTTCTGTTATTTTTGGTATTCTAAATTGTCCTTTTGGGTAACTCTTGTGTTCTATAGTTCGTATTGGGTACTGCAAAACTTTGAATTGCATAGAAACATAGGTTGTGTATATCAAACCTGACCAGTTTATATAAGAAGTGATGTTTATATAAACATAGTGAGGGGAATTTATCAAAACTGGAGCAGACATAATCTAGAGCAGCTGTGCATGGCATCCAATCAGCATCCACCTTTCATTTTCAAGGAGTACTGAACAAACTGAAAAGAGAAGCTGATCGGTTGCCATAGGCAACTGCTCCAGATTTTATTTGCTCCAATTTTGGTAAATTCCACCTATTGATCTTACAAATCTGAATTTTGCAAAGTGGCATATGTCACTGTCCCTGGAAATAAGTTTAAGTGACACTAAACTCAGAAGTTAAACTTTAAAAATGCATTCAAGTACCTTAACTATTAACAAAAATGTAACTTATTACTAGCTATAGATCCTCAAATTATTTCTGAATTGGTGCTGACACTGTCATTCCTTCTGGAGATTGGCTACTTTGTTCCCCATGGTCCCTGTGTGTTTTGTAAAGAAGCCACCGCTCCAAGCTTATTCCCCTGATGGACTTCAATCTCACGTTTAGTTTACTAATTTGTATTGAGATTTAACACATGCCCAGGGACCATGGGGAACAAAAGTAGCCACCCTCCAGAAGGTAGAACAGTGTCGGCATGAATTCAGAGATGATTTGAGGATCTACAGCTGGGTGATACACAAATACGTTTAATTTACTTACTTGAATGCATTTTTAAGGTTTAACTCCTGAGTTTAGTGTCACTTTAAGCTTCCAAGGGAAAGTAGAAAATAAACAGTATACAACCAAGTAAAGAACAAGTAACGGATAACAAGTAAAGATCTGGATAAACACAAGACAAAGGGTAGTTGCAAATAAAACATGAACTATATCTGTGTGGCACTGGATTCAAATTATCAGAAAATTGGTCCGATCGTGATCAAGCACACCTGTATAAAGTCCAATGAGAGTGCCAAACAAACAGTCTGGGGGTCCAAAAACATGTATTTACAGTATTGGTTCACAAACAACAACACAGAACAGCCAACACATGTCAGTGGCTCAAGGACCACCCCCTTTTTCAGTAGATCAGCAAAAGTGGTCTTTTGCAGATACACCGATTTGGTGTATTCAAATAATGAAATCTTGGTTACCTGCATCCAGCTATTGTCCTTACTATTACCCGTTATGTTTAACTCTAAAGGAGGACAAGGTCTTTCAGCCCCTGAAACAAGTTGGCTGTTCTGTGTTGTTGTTTCTGTACCAATACCATTATTAAGTTTAACCCCCGAAGGAGAGATCCTTGAATTGCTGACACAGGTTCGCTGTTCTGTATTGTCACTTTGAACTAATACTATTTTTTAAATAACAACTCCAGATAAAAAGTTTATTAACCCTTCCAGTGGGGCTACCCCCGCACTGGAACGGTTCAGTGCTCATTTTTGCCTAGGGTCAAAAATGACAAAGATATACTCACCTTATCCTTTGAGCTGGCGGGCTGTCACAGTGCTTCCTCGAGCCTGTCTCCTTCTCCGCTGCAGCAATGTTATTTCCCTCAGTGTCCTCACGTCCTATGCACTGTGTATAGTACGTGATGACTCAGGAACCTTAGACTGCTGCAGCAGAGGAGGAGGGAGGCTCTAGGCACCAGTCTAACAACAAGACAGCTCGGAGGATCGAGTGAGTAAATCTTTTGAATTTTTTACCCTAGGCAAAAATGAGCACTTAATCCTTGCAAGGGCTGGGGTAGCCCCACTACAAGGGTTAAAGGGTTATTAATCCCTCAATTCTTTTGCATATATCTACCCCCAGCAAGCAGTAGATATATACAAAAACTTTTTTTTAAAGCAAAAACTTTTAAAACAGGTTTAAACTTACCTGTGTCTGCGCCGCGCACTCCCCGTCCGAACATCTGAAAATTTCTCGGGCGGCCGCAAAGGATCTTGGGGCAGGTGCATGCGCAGATCAGATGTTCGGCCGGGAGACGGGGAGACACAAGGTAAGTCTATGGAGCAGCGTGCACCCGCACAGACTCCGTGGGACATGAGAGAAGAGGAGGACAGAGGAGTCAGTGCTGGATCAGAGACCTGCACCAGCGCTGGAGGGACAGCTAAAAACAAAAGTAAGGAAGAAGATGATCGGATTAAGAGGCATCATTTAAGGTAAGCCCTGACACTAACATGGGGGGGAGGGGAAAAAAATCCTTTAATGACACTTTAATAAAATTTCGAATGAGAGTTTTCGGTCTCTCAGACTGTTTGGCGCTCTCATTAGACTTTATACACATGGATATCTCTGTGTACTGGAGCGGCCATTCCACTGGTGCCATGTATACTGAGAAGTGAGGTGTGTGCTGAAGGCAGGATATTAAGGAAAAAACAATGAGAGTGCAGGTGGTGCGATCTCAGTGAGCTGAAAGCAGAATCCACCTTGTGGATGTGAAATGGCATTTAGCTTTAGTATTATAAAGGATAGAAGAAAACAAAATGTTTACCATGAAATACCTAGCAGAAAACTAAATATAAAAAAACTTACATTATTTTGATGTAAAATTTGGAGCACTCTGTTCACATTATTTAAAGCATGTACCCTTGTGGACCCACGTTCTTTGGGCTGTAAACAAAATGAAAGAATTAAACAACAGGAAGTGAGATAATAAAGTCAACTGAGTATCATTTTTGTAAGTGTTGTTAGAGTATTCAAGGCTCATAGTTGAGTGTAATGTACACATTTCCACCTCCCACCATAACTCATTTACTGTTCAGCAACCGGCACTTTCATTTACATAAAAATACAACAGCAAACAAATGAAAACATGTGAAATATTTTTCAGCTTGCTAGTATAATTTTATGAGATCTGTCGCCACGCTGAGATGCTACATCCTAGCTAAAATCCCGATTGCAGTTTCAGCTCTGTGTAGTATGCTGCCCTTTATGCTATGCTGCCATTTAACATAGAAGTGGAGTGAGAATCACAAATAAATTAATGTGCTAAATCATTCAAAGAATAACTGCAGGAATGTAAAAAGTTAACTCCTGGGGAGGGGCTATCCCCGCATTGCAAGGGTTAATTGCTCATGTTTTACTAGGGGCTCAAAAAATATATATACTCACCCGATCCTCAATCCTGCCTTGCTGCTAGTCCGGTCTTCATGGCCTCTTCTCTGCCAGGCTTCGGTGGCCTAAGCCGCACTGACATCATCAGATCTAATGCAGGTCCATTTAACTTTATTAGACGTGAGGATGCCAAGGGAAGTACCACAGCCGGAGCAGAGGGGAGAGAGAGGTGAGCACTCACCACCACAGGACCGAGGATCAGATTAGTGTATCTTCTTCTTTCCAGCCCTAGAGAAAAAAAAGAGCAGTTAACCCTTGCAGTGTAGGGGTAGCCCCACTGAAAGGGTTAACTTTTTGCATAACTGGAGTTCTTCTTTAACATGTAAAAAAGTTCAAATATTTATTTTGGCGATGTCTCAGTCCCACACGTTATAGCTATTCCAGCTCTGTCCCAGCCTCTGTACACACAGGAAGTGCTGTGACATCACTCGTCCAATGGAGCAACTTGTAGCAGCATTGGAAGCCAGATCGTTTCAGCTCCTGGGCTTAATGCTGGATGTCGCCTGTCAGAGACAGCTGGCGGTCCACGCTTGTACTGGCAGGGGCCCAAACAAGCCACTGAGGCCAGCTGTTGTTTTGAAATGGCATAGGGATGCCTAGCTGGTCTCTCATCTAGTTTAAAAATAACACTGGGGACTCAAATAGTTAACAGTGAATTTTGAGGGCTTCAATGAAGCGGTTCTTTGAATTGGACATCTTGGCTATTTTTTAGTCTGCATAACTATTAAATAATTTCCTGTAATGTTACAACAGTATAATTTTCATTCAAAAATGTAGTTCTTGAGCTTCAGTCATGTGACTTTGCCTAGGCGGAGATGATGTCATCAGTCTGCTGGCGGAAGGACAAAGCATTTTTTAGTCTTGCCATATTGTACCTGGTCACAACATCAGAGGCTGCATCAGCGGCTGATCTGTGTCAGACAATCTTGTGCACAGAACTGCATAGGAACCAGGGTTTACTTGATTTTGTCTTCTATAGCCAGCATATCTGTCTAAGACGTAGATGCTGACTAAGTACAGTGCCTGTAAAATATGGCACCATTTCTCTAGAGAGAAAATCAGATGAAGGCATTGAGTAGGATTATCTCTGTAAGAGATAGCAAATACAGTACCTGTAAGTATTACACTTACACATAGCATGAATGTAACGTGAAAATATCTGAAGCTCGGTCCACTTAAAAAGATACTGTTATTATATACAGGAATGCAAAGAATGACTGTGTATGAAAGTACAGTGAAAATATTTACCAGTACTGCCTTTGCTGAAACTAATATTCACTCTCTTGCAGAGCTAGAACCGCCACTAGACTTTTCAGGATCTTATACTAGCAGTGGTTCTTGCTCTGCAAGGGATTAAATATTAGTTGCCATGGTGGAGGTACTGATAAGTGTTATACCTTCCTTTCAAAAAACCGTGACACTCAGGTAAGGGGAGAGATACAGGGAAAAGTCCATTGTAAATGTGCGTACATAAAACAACAGTGCTGATAGTAAATAATATTTACATACAATAGTAACAATAATAACATAATGATAAGAAATGGTGGAAGTAGTCTGAGACACTAATACAAATTAAGCTAATACTGATCGAATGGGGGTTGTGCAGCCATCTCTAACAGGAGAGGAGGAGTGGGAGCTCCACACAAAATCTAATGAGATTTATTTAAGAAATATATACAAAAGATGCACTCACAAACAATTAGGCCCCATTCATACCGGGGATTATTAACGTTCGGTTATACCTGCAGCTAGAACCTATGGAATCCCATGTTCAGATGCGCCCTCTGTGCTCTTTCAAGATAATGACAGGGTGACAGCAGGCGTATATAATTGTACATGGTATGATTACCTGCGGTTTAAGATAGTTGATTGTCCCTGGACATATGATAGACCCAACCAGGGACAATCATCCATCCCAAGCCTGTCATTAAAGAAGAACTTCGAGTAAATGAAATCTTAACCCTTGCAGTGGGGCTACCCCCACACTGCAGGGGTTAAGTTATTGCTTTGTTAAGGGAGCTAAAATAAGAAAGTTATACTAACCTGAACCACAATCTCAGCTTGCACTTACACCGCTGCTTCCAGCCTGTCTCTTCCTCCGCTCCAGCAATGTAATGTCCCTTGGCGTCCACATGTTCTACACACTGTATAGAACTTGATAACTCATAGGACTTTAGGCCATAGGAGGCAGAACGAGGCTGAAGGGAGCTGTCTAAAGGTGGCCATACACTCTACAACCATCGCAAGACTTTAGTCTTGCGATGGTTGTAAAGGGATTAAAAAAACGTACGATCTGCCTATCTTGGACAGGCAGATCGCACTCTCGATCATCGCAAGCCCGCCCCCCTGAGGGGCGGGCTTCCGATGACCGCAATGCTGAACGGGCCGTTCAGCATTTATCTTCCGAGCACCGTTCTAACCAGCCGAGAATCGTACGATTCCCAGCTGGTTTTCGAACATGCTGGTTCGACAGAAGACGTGCGACCGTACAGTAGAAACGGACGCACGTCTCCGTTCACACTGCTCGATTATCGTACGAAAAACCGATCGCATACGATTATCGTACGATAATCGTGCAGTGTATGGGCACCTTTAGAGTAAGTTGGGATCGCAGTTCAGCTGAGTATAACTTTGTTATTTTAGCTCCTAAAACAAAACGAGCACTTAACCCTTGCAGTTGGGGAGTAGCCCGGAGTTCTGCTTTAACTTAGACAGGCACAGCGGCTGCATCCGAACAGGCACACCTGGGATTCCTGCAGCAAGAATCCATAGGTTGTTGCAGCAGGAATCCCAGAATGCGGCCTTATGACAGAATGTGGCAAAGTCATAAGCGCTGCGCAAACTGTTGGCGCTATATAAATACTATGTATTAATAATAATAAGCAGCAAGGGAACCCTTAGCTGGGTGAAGCTGCCCTAGCCAAAGGCAGAAATGTGCTCATCAGACAAAGGATGGAAACAGCACTGCAAGAGTCCGCAGCGGGAGAATAGTGACAGTGTACTAAGCTTCGTTCCTTCCAGATATGATGTCGCAGGGTTGGGATGCATTTCGAGGGAGGCATCCCCTTCATCAGCCTACCCTTTCAGACCATCTCTCATTTCACTTTTATACACTTTCACTGTCTCTTTAAAGTATACTTTCTTTTAGTATCGAATGTTATTTTATATGACAGCTTTACATTAACTAATTTCATTCTCTAGTAATGATGTCGTGTTTTTGGAGAGAGGCAACACCCAGCATACTGAAGCAACCACCACATAAAAAGGCTGTACACCCACTACATCTGTGTTAAAGGTCAGAAGCAGAATTTTCCTCTAATTATTGGATTTAAACAGCTTGGTATTTAGCTAAAACATAAATCATGAGGGCGGTACTAAACTGTCCTATCCAGCTGTAGAAATAACCTACCTGCTATATGCATTCCTATCAAATGGAAAACCTTTAGAGATATTTATTCTACATTCAAGTACTTAGAAATGAACTGACAGAATACAATACATAAAGCTGGGCCAAATATTTTCAATGTGGTCGACCAAGCCCTCATCATTTTGCAGAAAGCACTCCCCTAGCAATCTTGCAGGAAGGAGCAGGAAATGTCTCTTAAGTAATCTGGTGTGTAGATACATGATAAGGAAAGACGGAGATTAAAGCAGCAATATGTCTCTGCAGTCCAAGCCGCTGAGCCATCATATGGGCTAGACAAATACAAGAGCAATAATATGTGTTTTATATGAACACACATTTGCTCTCAGCCAGATTCACTGAAGTAGATGTGGGAATATTCACTTTTAATTAAATGTATGTAAAATATTCTCCTAAAGCTCTTCATGGCATGTGGTTGAAAGCAAAACACTGGGCAAACATGTTTACAGTCTTAAAGTGGACCTTTTTGACTAAAAGACTAATCTGTACAAGGATCCTCTCCTATCAGCCCATGTCAAAGGGGCCTAAGGTATGCAAAGAATGCAAAGCCTGCAATTATCTAGAAGTATGTGTTTGTAGATTGCCATTACTAAACATTTCTAAAGGTGTGTTTATTATTATTTTGAAGATATGGTAAAGTTCCTCTTTAAAGCCTACCTCCAGGGGGAAAAAAACTCCCCTCCCAGTAGTGCTGCCCCCACACTGCAAGAGTTAATTACACTAAACTCAGGAGTTAAATCTAAAAAATGTAACTTATTTGTATATCACTCGGCTGCAGATCCTCCAATCATCTCTGAATTCATGCTGACACCGTCCTTCCTTCTGGAGGGGGGCTACTTTTGTTCCCCATGGTCCCTAAAGTCGCCACCGCTTCAAGCTCAAGTTAAGTTTGCTAATTTGCATTGAGATTGTAGTCTATCACGAGAGTGAGCTTGGTATAGCAGATCATTTCAATACAATGTACAGCTTTTGGAATATTTTTTGTACACTGTAAACGAACGCCAAAGGTTTAAGCACATGGCATTTTTGTTGCAATAATATATGTGTCACAACCACTGCCATCATAGTATTTATTAATGAGAAATTATTAATTGCGATAGTGTTAATTTCAAGCTCGGAGTGGTGGCTACTTTGCAATTTAGAATTTGAAATAATATTGCTCCTTGTAAAATGAAACTATTCTCACTGCATCCTCTCTTGCATCATTGTAATTTGCAGAACAGAATTAGGATGTTTACATTTATAAGGAATGTAACTTCTAAAATAACAGTATGGAGACTTGTTATATAAATGTTAATTGTCTCACTTTAGTTTGAAACCTACAGACTGCGAAAAACTAGGGAGGTCAATGAAGGCAACCATTATTTCATAGGCTGATTAGCCTGATTTACTAAAGAAACTTAACCCTTTCAGTAGATCAGGCTAATCACTAGCAAGGGTTAATTAAAAAAAAGAAATCCCAAAGTTCTTCTTTAAATGGGACTTTAAGAAAAACAAAAACAAAAATTAAAAGCCAGAGTGTGTGCTTTGTGGAGGGTACTGCAGTGTGCATGTGTACTGTATTACACATACAGACTTCAGCCATGGTTAGTGTGCATACAGGACTTCATACAGTGCTAAATTGCAAATGCATTTTCTAATGATAAATACCCAACTGTATTTTCCTATTTGCTCCAACAGCACTGTGTACAGCTTTTAGGAGCTGCTCCTTCCTTTGGACTACACTGCTTCTTTTTTAATAAAATATTATTTTGTTTGTTTGTTTGTTTGTTTTATTTAAAGCCTCATTCTTCTTTAACCTCCCTGGCGGTATGATTATGTCAGGAATTTTGTACCAAAAGCGGTACAATTTTTGTATAAAAATGTATTGTAGGCCTGCAATTCTTAGTAAATTCGTTCGCGATATCGCTCTTCAATGCATCTTAATGGGGCAAAGGGTCCTGCTGTCGCGGGTCGTGTGTCGCTACAGCAGGACCCTTTTTGGAACGGATTTTGCCGTGATTCTCGCTTGCTCAATGCAAGCATTTGCGCGATATCGCGCAAAATGCAAATCGCCCGACAAACGCGCTATTTGCAAATCGCGCAATGTGAACGGGGCCTAAAAGTTAGATGCCAGCATCTGACTTTTAGTTTCGTTTTCGGGCCGCGTACAGCAGAGGACGCCGCGGGCTCGCAGGGACAAGGTAAGTGTCACTTTTCTCTGCAGCCCCGAGTCTGGCTAGGGTTTACCGCTCCTGGTATGGGAAATTCACCCCGAGCCAGACTCGGGAATACCGCCAGGGAGGTTAACAAACCTTTTGAAAGGTTCACAATGCAGGACATTTTACAGCAGAATTAAGCCCATCCTAGTTCACCACAATAACATAAACTCTTGGGCAAGCTGCACTACAATCTCCAAGGCTACACCATGAGGCTGAAAAAAATATTATGTCTAGAATGGATTGTGCTACAGTTACTGTCTGTAACAGTCATGAGAGTCATAACATGGCCAATCAGTAAGTCAGTCAGGCTCTAATCAAAATGCACATTTATATTCCTTAACCCTTTCGCTGCCAAGCCCTCCGGAACATTTTTCAAATAAGCTGGCCAAGCCATTTTTGAATTTTCTGCAATTTTTTCCTATTGATTTGATTTTCAACTGCTGCGTTGCTAGCGTTTGTAAAAGACCCCCCAAACCATATATTTTCTGAAAGCGCAGGCCCGGTAGAATAAAAAGATGGTGATACTAAATTTGTAGGCCCTGCGATAATTGCGCAAATGTTTCTCAAATTAATATTAAACCGATAAAAATACACAATTCAATTGTTAAAACACACCAAAATCAGTATCCGTGCACAAAAAAATTATTTTCTGACTAAATCTAAAAGATAAAACTGTATTGAGTTAATAAATAACAAATATTAGCAAATTTGTAATTGCGCCTTTTTGCGAAAAGGTAAAAAAATGAAGGTATGCAAAACTGTAAATAATCGACTTATGTAAAAAATTGTTTTGGTGTTTGTGTTGTGATAAAATGATACAGGCATATATTTATTGCAACACAAAGATCACAACGCATGGCAATGTGTCACAAAGCTTTGCCATGCGCTGCCACAGTTTATTTATTTATTTTTAAAGAAATCCGGCCCAACCCTGGAGATTTTTTTTTATCCCCGTTGCCACATATTATGGTTACCTGAGTTGTACTGCACCGGATTAAAAGAGAACTATGAGGTGAGTGAAAATCACTCAGCCTCATAGTTCAAGCCGACGTGTGACAATGAAACTGTCACAGGTCGGCTCAATAGATCGGGAAGTGAGCGAACACATATTGTCGCGCGCTCACTTCTTGATCCTGTCCCTGCAGAGAGCAGTGATTGTCACTCACGGCTCCCTGCAGGGATCCCCCCCCCTCCCCTGTCCAATCCTCCAGCGCTGACTGGCGGAACGGACGGGGGAGGGGGCGGGTACAGCTGGCTCTGCCTCTAAATTGGCAGAGCCAGCTGTCAATCACGCAGCTGGGTGGATCTCGACAGTAATGTCGGGATCCGTCCAGGGTGCTGCGGCCTCAGTATACCGTGTGCTGTAGCTCGCAGTATAATCAGCTTTGGGTCACGGGAGGACGCTAGTTTGTGTCCTCCAGTGACCCTTAGGAGAACTGTGAGGAAAAGCACACATAGAATATAATTGTTTTTTATTTGTCCCATCCACACAGCAACAATTTATTTAAATTACTATCTGTAAAAAACAATCTAGAATAAACATTTCAAATTAATTAGATACTAACCAGAGAGGTTCCAGTGAGGCCTTCAAGCAAATCCAACAGTTTTCTTCCATCTTTGAGATCTGTAAAAAGGTCCTTTACTTGAGCTTTTCCACTCTGCAAAACAAGAATAAATCTCTCACTCAAAGCACACAATTCACAGTTTACATGTAAACACACTTATGAAGAGCAAACAGAACAAACGATGACTGGTTACAAAACTCTCCATAGGTCTGATTCTTGCATGCTATGGTGTACACAAACAGTGCAGCTCTCCTCAAACAACGCTATGGGGCTGATTTATGGAGCCAAGAAGCACAGGAAATGCTATGATCCTCAGCGCCATCTGGTAGCATTAGTACTGTGCGAACGGCATTCGCCCAGTTATACACTTGCCGGAACATTTCTAAATGAGTCCTTATGTGTGTCTCCGATTTTTCTCCCCTGACATTTTGGCAAAATAAAACCAAAGGTAAAGAGCAGGAAGATAACCTGTTCATGTGCACAAATACTGAAATCAGTTGGGCAACATGTCAGCTACACTTACATATTGATCAACAGCATTACAAGGAAAGTAACAACTGCTTTACACCAAGAAAAGAAAGTTAGGGAAAAAGTATCTTAACAACTGGCATGACGGCAAATCTGTATCCCACAATGGAAAGTGTGTATGTACTGGAACAGTCACAAAACACAAGATGACACAATAGCCTTAACACAATGTGTCCTGAATAGACACTTCCACTGACAGCTGGGGGAAACATGACAGGCCCTACAATTGTTAGAAACTGTGTCTGTATATCTCATCAAGAACCTTTTTCCTTCCTGTTGGCAAAATTCTATTTTACCTGTAACCACTTCAGTGCTAGCAGTTGTTTTCCCCTTTTGGACCAAAGCAATTTAAAAAGTGATAGGTCTTTCAATATGCCAATACCTTATTTACTTATGATACTGTAGATAAAAATTACAAACTCTATTCTGCTATTGGTCCTGTTATGTTACAGCTATACTGTACGAAAATGGAATATATATTTTCACATTTTTATGATTTTTTTTAATCTCCCAAAAAAAGGGAACACAAGTTTAGAAAATATTGCATTCAAACAGTAGAAACTAAAAATAGAAACTAAAGAAAACTGTATAACCCTCATTCCCCCAACCAGCTCCCCCGGGACCTGATCCTTTACCTCTCCTTCCCCTTCAATCCTATCTTAGAGACTCACGTCTTCCAAATCTCTTGGCTACCTACAGGGAGGCAATGGAAAACCCAATCACAGACAATGAGTTTCTTAACCTGGCCACACACTTATAATTTTTTGTTCAACCTGCAGACCGAAAGAAAAAATATAATAGTCTACTCCACCCATGCTAAATAGCATGGATGGTCGAAACTCCTGCTAGGTATTGCATTCTGGCAGTAGCAGGTGTGCCACTGTCAGACAACGTGCACAGTAAACAATTAGCTGCCATCACTAATCACCTTAAAATTTATGGACTGGCTCCTTCAATTTCCTGGCCGAAAGGAAGGGTGGTGACAGGGGCTTCCACTGAGTGAATTTTGTCCAGTTCATTAGGAACCAGCCGAAATATGACAAGCTTTACTCCCTGTTTTCAATGAAATCCAACAAGGCCCTGACAGCTTTACTGTCCATGATTACAAAATGTTTCAAACCATGTTGATTAAGGAGTTTATCAAATACTACAGTAAAATACTTGAAACAGGGAAGATTCCACGGGATACGCTATGTGGCCAAATCTCTGTCATCTCTAATGATGTGAGATTCCTTCAGTTTTGTTCAAGTTACGGCTAATTTTCTTGTTGATCTAAAATGTTTACTAAGATGTTGTAGAAAAGCCTTCTCCCTCTCCTAAATCTTAAAAATATATCCAAGTACCTTGACTATTAACAAAAATGGACCTTGTGCATCACTCAGCTGTAGAAATCATCTCTGAATTGGTGCGGACACTGTCCTTCCTTCTGGAGTGTGACTACTTTTATTCCCCATGGTCCCTGTGTGTGTTGTGAAGTAGCCATCGCTCCATAAGGATTATGCAAAAAAAATTTTTTTTATTTGAAGAGGAATCAGAACACCTGTCAGGTTTTTACCGCTGTCCGTGTCCCCATCTATGTGTCCTGGTGACAATTGTTAGTGAAAGAAAATTCTAAACTTTTAAGACCAGGAATAGATGGGAAATATTCCAATGGGGACACTTAGTAACTTTGCTGACCATTAGGGATTTCCTTCACTTTGGAGGTATTTCATCTCACTTCTTTTGTGGCTATCTGACAGGAAGTGAAGGGAAATCTCCCCAATGGGTCAAAAATGAAAAAAAGGTTGAGGGGTTATAACCCTTCTTTACTGTATCCAAAAGTAAAAGAAAAGTTTGGGCTTTAGTTCTACTTCAATAATGCATGTCATGCTACTTCCTTTTACTTCACAGCAAATCTGTGAAAGTCTATATAGAGTTCTGACACCAGAATTCAATGAAAACTGAGCAAAAAAAAAAGAACTGTTCTGTCAACTCAGCCTGCAGCTGGCGTATCCTGCACACCATTTCTTCTTTAATATATTCAAGTCAACTTTGCAATAATAACCGAATACAATGATAAATGACTAACTCAATTACATAAAATGAACTAAGGTTTACATAATTTTCTGACAGCTTTGCTTGCACTGTCTTCAAACGTTCCCAGTATTTAAAAAGTAATTACAAATTCTCACATCACAGTAATATATACAAAGCACTTTGAATCCAACTTGTGATTGTGAAACCTGGGTTTATTCAATGTAGTCCATTCCCAGAGTGCCCTGCCACCTTATGGAACAAATGTGGATGTGAAACAGCTGGAATACTGCGGGTTGCTTGGCCTATCCCATAAACTCACTGAAATAATAAATAAAATAAAAAAAACTGGCAAAGCACCACATTCCTTTCAGAGAATAAATATGAAATATATTCTTGGCTTCTATGCATTCCTTTTCTTAAAACATGAAAAGTTCAACTCTGGTGTTGCTATGCCTACTAAGGATAGTTCAGTAACCATATACTCCCTGGCTGGGATCCCTGCCTTTCCAGGAACAGATTATATTTTTTACTGATATATTTTATTAAATAAACATTAAACTGAATCCACAGAGCTGGCAAAGGAATGTACATACTTTATTTGTTATTTCTATTCAATCGTTATTACTTGAGTAAGCCAGAAAGGTGAAACGTGTTAGAGGTTGAACATGCATGGGGAGGAAACAACAGTATGTATTTGCTCCATAAATATATTTATCTTCAGTGAAGAGTGAAGACCCTTGAAGTGCGGCTATTTCTGGATTGAACTTTATGGAAAGCTGGATAAAACCAGAGTGTAGACATGTCGGTATTCTCATTTCTGCCTCATTTTACATCCTTTCACTTGAAAATACTGAGTTCCTTTTTTATCTCATAAAGAAAACTAAAACACTTTATTCATCTTTTTCAGTGACAAGTGTTAAAGTCTTAACAGACTAAACATTTTGTGAATGTCAGTACACAACTGCACGCAGGCTTCTTTTCCATGTTACCTTGTGGTTAATAGTTCTTGATGTGTAATAATAGGACAAGCTACTAACACTGCAACGTTTAGGACAATTCAAGGGAAACCTGTACCGATAGATGTATGGAGGCTGCTAGGGATGTTTGGATACCAAGTACCGTACTCGGTACAAGTACATGTAGAGATCTAATGCATCAATACCATTTTTCCAAGTACAAGTATTGATACTTGCCCAAGTACTCATAGATACAAGTACTGATACATTTTTGTTTATTGTCAATTGACAATTTTATAAAAATAATACAGACTTATGATTTCAGGACAGAGGTGGAGCGCCAGAGCTAGGTCCCTGCTGCCACCGCTGCAACCCTGGTAGTTCTCGTGATAATGCCAAGTATCGGCACTGGTATCTGAACATCCCTAGAGGCTGCTATTATTTGCCTCTTGCTGAAAATACTAGTGTTCTCTCTCTGAATTCAGCACTTTTAGAGTTACTGACCTTGAACAAGCATGTTACCAGTGAGATCAGAACCATAAATCTGCACTTAGGTCAGTGAATCTAAATCTAGGTCAGTGCATCAGAATTCTGGATCCAAAGTATCAGCTTGAAAGCCAGGAAACTAACATTTATAGAAGGTGATGTCATCAATGTCAGCTTACACATTTCTCTCAGCACAGGCTTCCTTTAAGCTGTCAGCACTTAGCAAATATGACTCCTTACATAAGGGCATATTTGCTAAGAAAACTTGGGGTTCAGTAATCATTCTACTTCAATGTTTTAAACAACAGGGACATTTTTGTTTATGTGTCTGGTGTCTCATTGCACATGGTAATCAAATGTACAACCTTCCAAAGAATTCACTTTACCACATATTCTTGGAAGTGTACAAAAATGCATGGATTGTCTTTGAAGTGCACCTTTTCACATAGCTAAGGTTCTAGAACAGGTAAAGCTGGTACCCATTGAAATGCCTTCTCAAGCCTCCCAGGACCCCCAAAACTGGGGGTAATTCATTGGCGGTCAAATTAATATGAAATTCAGGAGCTAGTCTCTCTAATACAGGAGCTAGTAGGATCTTATTTAGGAGCCAGCTCTACTGACAACAACTAGAGAAAACCTCAAAAGTTAGGTGCCACCTGTCATTTTTAAGGGGCATTGGCTACCTGGCTCCTGGAATTTATCCAAGCCTGGGTAATCTGATATGCAAATATTGGCTAGTTAAGGGCTGACCTGCTTTCTCCTGCCTCTAATACATGACTGTCTGTTCTTGAAACCCAACTAGATAGAATGGTACATCAGCTAAAATCAGCCATACATCGGCTGCCTTCGGTCAGCCGCTGAGCCGAAGTGCAGAAGGACTTCGACTCACCATTTGGCTCGGCTATTCTGCTTGGTACCTCCCAGGTAGTGAGCAGAATAACAAAACAGTTAAATAAAATAAAAAGTTGAACATTTATTTTTTAAAATGTGAAAAAATAGGTAGATTAACAAAAAAATGTTTTTAAAGAGAAGATTTTTTTTTAAATAATTACAAATACTTAAAAAAAACAATTGGCCAGAGCTAGTGGTGACAGCTAGCTCCACCCA